TTTTTTTTTTTTTTTGAGCCAGAAATGTGTTAATTAAGTAAGTAGTTATAATTGGTTATATGATTTTGCTAGCGGATGTAAAGCTATGGTAATCACCGATGCTATACAACTACTTTTCTCAAGACGTTAGATTCAATTGTCTGTCGTGGTAAACGACATTGTTTTAAGAGTTTTTTCACGAAACTCAACTCTTGTCTGATGAGCTTATTAAATTTCTTGGGACGAAATTTATGGTGATGTGAGCTAATTTCTCTGCGAAAAAGCATTTTTTTGTCTGTGTTGGTCAATTGACAATGTTACTTCAGTACTAATAATAATATTTAGAAAATGGCCAAAATGCTTATAAAGACTACATTACAAGAAAATCATGACACAAAACGGAAAAATAGGTACTTTTCTGCTTTTACAAGCCCATAACACCACCTAAATGCGGAACGAAGAGCCTTTTAAGTTATTCGTTACAAATTTTAAAAGTGACAATTAGGTCTAGCCTAAATGACGTTAGCTACATCTATTTTACCATCTATCATGATTTAATTGATGCATAGCGTGAGGCCGGTACTCGACGAGTCGGTTGTCCGTCCGAATATACTGCATCATGAAAATTCACTTTATTTTGCTTCCAGTTCAAAGGACAGTAAACCGCTGTCACAGAACCCCTTTCAAAGAGGATAATCCCATGAATAACGATCAATTACAAGACCATGCAAATTAATTATCTACGAGCAGCCACTATGCAAGGAGTTGATCTCCTTCCCTGCACATACTTGTGTTGACTATCGCAACTGTTACCACATCAAATTTTTTTAACCAACTTTTGCTCTTTCTGACGCATGGCTCTACAAACAACCAATAAACGATGGGACCCCCGCAGGCGATGGCATTGAGGGTATATTCGGCGTGGCAGCCGAGAAATTTTCCAATCAAAATGGTCACAGTGACGCTTTTAGTCCCGAACCAGCGTCTACAGTACTCACATAGACCACCCCGATTCCCATTTACAGAACCCTCTTAGAGGATAAAGAGTTTTGACACTCTGCCTTATCTCTGCGCGAGTCTCACATTCCATGGTAAGTCTATACGGCGGAAGGCAGAACACACGACGAGTTTCAGCTCGTCCATACGCTACATATGTCCCAATTAGGTGATCATGCCCAACAGAAGGCAAAAACTGGCAGCAAGTTTGATGCGGTCGCTTCGAACTGAATCACGGAGTGATCGTGGGTCTGATCCATGGAAATAAGTCTCCCGCCGCCCTGTGGCTCAGCGCCTGTAAATTTATGCATTTGAGCTTCTACGCAGCCCGAAAGCAAAAGATGCGTTCAGTGGTGGCCCCAAGGGCACATTCTGATCCCCTAAGTCATCACTCCTCTTGTTAATAACGTTAAAACATTGACCAATCGTGGTGAGTAGATTTTGTTCCCTCTCTTATGACCATACACCAAATACTAAGCGCTTGAAAAGTTGCGTCAATTTCCGTACGGGGTCAATATGACACGTCGCCTCACCCAACTCACATATTTAACAGCGCAATTTCAAGCTAGAATATTACCAAATGCTATGCCAAGTACAAAGCACGACGTCGACGTCGAAGTGAGCGGACACCTCCTCCAATGTAACCGCTCCTTGTCATCTATGTGGTATATTTCGGTCTACCTTGAGCTATTGACGACAATTCCGGGCTCCATTCACTAGCGCGAAGCGTGTCGTGCTAGGTGAACCTGTCTCGTCTCCTGGGGAGATAAAAACAGAAGGTTCAACAATTTATAGCGTAACAGAGAAGTCATGGTAATCTTGTCGATATTGAGCCATTGGTTTCTCGGAAATACGATTCATTTGACCCGATATATATTTCAGCTCACTGGCCCACCATCCTTCCACATGCAAGCTATCAGAGCCAGCAAAGGACGACCCTCAAGTGTGAGCTTTTCGATTGTGGTAGCACGTCAAACCTCTCCAAGAATTTTGGTGTGCCGACGACATCAATCGTCTTTTAGATGCGCTTGCGATCGGACCGATCGGCTTGATATCCGTCAACTACGTCAATCATTTCGGAACCGTAGCGCTGCTTTGGAACCGAAGGTAACTTGGCTATAAGAAATTATTAGAACGTCAATTCGTCTAACGCTAACGTCTCGCGTCAAATCGCTGGTGGAAGCGGGGTTATGGCACGACTGAAAGAAACATCGCGAAAGATAAAAATGCTCTTGAGTACCAGCGTTGCGAAGACGCACTTCAGTCTTGTAGGCCGTAAACAGGTGGATTGACAGCATTGATAAGCATTTTTCTATATAATCATGCGTGTTCAATCTGCCTCTGGTATCAGCTTTTTGCTTTTGTACATCCCATTTCGAGTTATAGCGTCGCGCATTTGTCGCATGACACTCATCACTTTGATTTGAAACTTTTAATTTTGCTACGACGTGTAGCACTGCTGATACCATATCGACATTCCTCGCAATCAAGATCCAACTCAATCTTGATGGTGTCGAGTAACGTAAGGGTTACCATCATCCTAAGCCTGAAAAACCGCAGTTTTATGTTGCGGAGAGCAAACTCTATGTATGGGAGCTTTCCTAAGCACCGCTGTCGCTCCGCGCGAATGCTTTGAAGAGTACATAATACCACGCATTTGATGCTATTCATCTGCCCATCTGTATGAAAGTGATCAATGGTGGAAGTGTCCAATCTGGTGCCAAGTGCCTCAAACAAAGTTTACAACGATTTTGCTGAAAGCGGAGACTTTAACCCAGAACAGTGGTAACCGATAAGCCATGTGGAACTAAACTTTGTCGAGGAACATGCTGACTGGATCCTCACCGGTGGCGGTATATCTGACAGCTACGAGACGGACCGTTTTGATCAGACGGACTCAACGCTGATATTCTATGAAGCGTCTCTGGAAATACGAAAGGTTAACTCCACGATAATAGCACGCAAACTTAGGCTGGCATCCTTCCAGTTCCATTTTGCGCGCACACATAAGTGCTTACTTATTCGTACATGATGGGCCACCCGTATATAACGCACACCAAGCCGTAGGTCTAAAGGCCGACAAAGAATGTGCATGTGCTTGTATGGTATTCAGACTTGAGATCTTCATCGAAAGGTCTGACCATCGACTGCATATCGAGTTGTAGAATAGAAAATTTTATAACAAGGAATAATAACGCAAATGCAAATGCACCACCAAACCCTTCAACCAGACGACATCCGAGTTAAAAAAAATCATGCTTTCATAAATGGTTCCACAGACCAACCCATCTGTTGTGCTTGACCCAGATTCTGTACATACCGCCTGGCCGATGCGCAACGTCGCCATCGTGACATGGATTAGCTCATAGAATAACCGAAAAATCCTATCACAATTTTATAATTGGGAAAGCAGAATACTCATTTTGCCATTCTCTACGAGAAATGTCGCAGTGCGTAACGATGCATGCTCTATATAGATTGCAAATGGTTTTGGGCCTAGCAGGCATACTTTAGAGCAAGTAGCTCTTAGTCATGCGCTAGATCAAAGCAGGTGAGACACAATTGCCAAAAACCTGATGCGCAGTAACGCTTGCCTCGATTAGAACACTACGCAAGGGCAGGAAATAATAGATCCGCACTTGAAAAAGCCAGTGAACTGCATCCCTGCAACAATTGTTGTCCAGACAAGGTTGATGAGAAGCCGCGCCATATTGGCGTCATATGTACTATATGTGTGCAAGTAATCATTCGGGATTTATCGGTAGAACAGGCTCCCAGTAAAGCACTCCTAGAGTAGAGATTATCAACGCTTAAGACGCACTTATCTATGTTGGCTATTAGCTTTAGTGTACACACACGAGTAGCTGTTGGTGGCTACCAGAGATGTGGTTGAGTCGGTGAATGAACCAGGACATTGTTGTAAGAGAAGGTGTATTATTGGGACTGATGCAATAGCTGCTAATACATCGAAGATAGAGAAGTAGGGTATAGGCAAAAGTCGATCTATCATGTTTTCTTCAGCCAGCACACAACACTGCTTTTTAACAGCAATCTCAAACAGAGATTGAACGCTACGTTTTGTCCTCCTTCTTTTTTCAGCAAAGATTCTTTTACTTCACCAATTTTGAACGAAGAGTGTGAAGATGCTGACAATCTCGTCGCTACAAAGCAGATATTATTATTATTATTATTATCGCAAAATACCGAGTGACCTCTGACGGTGAATACTCTCGATTCCCGATCCCAGAATTGCAGACTTCGGCTGTGACAGATGTGACGCTTTGCTCAAGCCGGAATTGCTAAAAACACCGAGGTCCCAGTATTCGTTATTGAAGTGCTTAGTATTGGTACCAATACCGCACACTCCTGGTGAAGTTAACGAAAGCATGAAAGGAACCTTAAAAATACCGCGCAGGCAAATGCATTATTGCCCGTAAGTGCCAGTGTTGAATCGTGCAACAGCGCCCCAGGATGTGAAGGCGAAATTTGAAGGTTAAAGTAAGAGAGTGCGAGCAAAAGCGGGACTGTGACAGCATGCGGTAAATGGCTATCGTGTGGAGGTAGGAGAAGAGATGTGACAGACATGCTCAGGGATATCTACACCGACAAAAAGCAAGTTCCGGAGAGATGATGTAGCCTGATCGTTATACCAATGTACTCATTTAGCCTTTATTACATCAATCGGCTGCTGGCTGGTTAGATGCTACTTTACATTTACATTTGAATCTATTGAACTGCAATACATACTCAATCATGTGGAGAGTCCTAATCCATTCTGACCACTAAAATACTCCTCGCTCTCGCGAGTGTCGCACTTTTCTCCCACTCACAACTCTACACCGACATTTTATGCAGCTCATCCATCCTTGCAGAACCGCACATAGTTCCGCCGTCACCGCCCCTAACTAGACAGGAAAGGCTTTACAAGATTATTCTAAAGTAGTCGCAGATAATCTACCCTAGCGCCCATATGCTTAGCACTAAGGGTGCCTTCAGCTTATCACATAACTACTGTGCCACGACGCCATGCACTGTTGTGATTCCTGTTTTAACGAATGTACATTTCTCCAGCTACGCACGATGACAAAGTTATTATTTATCTCACTTGTGTGCGCGCGTTTTACATGATCTTGGTCCTCTTCAACTACCCTGTTATTCTTCTAGCAACTGTAGCATCTGTCTTTTTAATTCACGTAGACTGGACTGTTTTTATTTCTGCCGCCTTATGCACGGCAAATCAATGCCCGATCTGGGAATGCATCGAACAATTCACACGGATTCGTTCTTAGCCAAAAGAAACAAGCTACATACGAATTTGCATTTAGTAGATATCCTTTTTACTGAAGTACTTCTTTGTCCCTAACACACCAAACACGTTGCGAAATAGTTGTCATCAAGGTTTAACGACACTAAGTGTGCCATAGTAAGGGTGATTTTCAGCCGCTGATTAAAGTGCGCTTAATTACGTAACATGTACATTTCGGTGTTTCAAAGTGATGGTGTTTCTGTGTCGAAATTTTTAACGTTCTTTGCTCTTTTTCATCTTCAGACGCAGATCGTGTTATTGATTAATTGAGTAAGAAAGCACATAGATGAGAGGTGGCTTGGATTGCGTCCTTACGTCCACGTGACAAAACGCACTTTATCACCAACCCACAAAACGGGCTTGGCCGAATTCTCTTGTAACATCTATGCAGCCTAAGAATGCTCATTCATATCATATTCACACTGATTCAAAATTAGGAAAATGTATTGCATATTGCCACAATAACAATATCCCTGGTTTTCTTACGATGTTTATGACTCATATTTTCGCTTTCAGGCGCTATGTGATTAATAATAAAAGGATGTGATGTATAGATGATTGCTGTCAAAGTTATGTTTACTTTAGTCATAACAATTCTGGTCTATTTATACAGGTATTCTGTGAGGATATTAGTCAGTAAGCGTAGCGATGCCAACGGAAAAATAATCAAATTGTATTGTACCGGTGGGTCGACGTCAGCTTTAAATACTCTCGTGTCAAGAGAAATGACACGCTTGATTTCAGTTGATTGAACCTATATTGGTCACGTGTCGTTGTGCACACTGCCGTTGGCACCACATCTTCAATAAAGAATGGCAAGATATTCTTATCCTTTGTTTTATTCACCTCTGAGTAAGGCATAAGCTGGACTTAATGTGGTGGCGGATGTAATTTCACATCGCATCAATAACGGGTTCTCGCATATTGCAGCGGGGCTGTCGTAGCTTTGCGCTTGAAGAAGCGTTATTTAGGTCACTGACCTTTCGTTCTTTACAAGAACCAATGCGAGTGTAGCGGATCGCAATCCGCTACCTCCAAGAGTGTTTAGCTCCTTAACTCAACTAAGGCTAATAATTGCTTTGGTTTGAATTCAAAACTGATTTTTATTTATTTTTATCTGCGGCTTATCGCCTAATTTTAAATGTATAGATTTTACTAAATATATGTAGTAAAATCTAAAAAGATGAATAACTACTGGCTACCTAGCCACATACCGTATTCTTGTTTGGGTGCAGTCACACCATGCCCATCTCGTGTGACATACACCCTTGTTACCAGGGTACGTGTAGCCCCGTTACACATATTGCAATGGTGATGTTGCCAGTTGATCAGACGATACGTACAATGTACGGGTCAGACGCAACATGTGTTGCCCTGCTGAAGGAGGAGCATGAAAAATTAAGTTTTATTCAAGCCCTACACCGCTATGCTTTTTTCAAAGTCTTACTGTAATACATCACTGACCCACATGATACTCAGCATGGCGTGATGCCGCCCGAGGATACTGCTCGATGAAAAGTGATTCCCTTTGGGTGACCTCCTTGGGAGAGAAATACGCACTACTCGGTGAGTGCTAGGTGTTGGTGGTTCAACGCGTAGTAGTAGGCAAGCGCATCTGTTCACACATGTGAAATGTGTCAACTCGTCAAACCCTCGCTGCATGTGGCGGTTCTTTGACAGGCCTTACAAGTACAGAGTGCATGACGCTATTTCTATAAAAAAAGGCATCATGCCGATGCCAGAGGCAGGTGAAACATTCAAAAGTGGCGTGGGGTAAAGATTTCATCCAGTTTAATTAACCAACCCACACATGCAGTTGCTGCTGTCTGTTCGACAAAATCGCGTCTACGCTACATCGAACTGTTCGCGTCCGTAGCGAAAAAAGGAATGACATTTTGAATATCCAAGGAGAATGCTAGCAAAACCTCTGTTATATGTGAGGTTAATGAGGCTATACCACGCTCTTGCACATTTAGACAGCTAGAGAACTCTGATGCAATCGAAAAAGAGTTCCTACCACCCTCTGCAGCTGAGCTACTTTCTACCCAAAGCAGCGACGCTTTCACATACCGCTGATATTACTTCAAGCCAGGTAGAACGATGTCAAAGCTGAGAGAGCGAGTTCAAATGTGATCAATCTCAGCCTAGAATACTAGCCGTGCCACACAAAGTGACTCTCCGTTCCTTCGACTCACGATAGGGTCGTTCTCTGCTACCACTGCTCGATAAGCAGGGCGGCTGACTTTAGCGATAAACGTTGATGAATTGGATGCAATGGGCAGGTCCTATTACGCATGTTGTGTGAATCACACACTTTGTGTGTCTGACTTTAACTGGATCCCTGTATAAAGTATATTCTCTTCCAGTTCGGCTGTATCAGAACTCGAAGCACTTATTAGGTTAGAAAGGTCAAAGGCCTATCGGCTAAAATAATAAATTTCACTTTACGTTTACGTAAGTCAGCGGCCGCAGGAGGAGAGCAACACTCGGTGAGGCGTGTCAGTTGACCTAAGCCTTTCTTAAAACAGTGTGTTTACACGGACGGGCGATTACGTTACACCTGGTAACACTAGCAATCATTCCAACACCGACTACCGCGATAGGTTAATCGATGGATCATGTGGTCACCACAGGCGGTGGTCGTCCTCGGATCAATAGGAAGAAAAATTTGTGACACTCGCAGTGGGAGTGTGTGGTGATATTGCGGCTTTAATCGGAAATCTCGCGGTCTCTGATATGCTCCAGTTAGAATAAGAAGCGATTACTTATCAATAGCAAATTTTGCCGCGTAGGAGTAAAGACAATTGGAGTTTCTATTGCAAAACATACCAACGTCGGTTCCGTCACTTCCGCCACGAGTGGTGATGACAAGGTCGGTACACACGGAACGTCTCGTGAAAATACCGGTGAAAAGCTTTCACAAGAACAAAGAATAAATTTTTGCGTTCTGGCAGCGAGAAATGGACATCGCTACACGATGACTCAAACTTGTGATGACCGTAGTCAAGTGGCCTTTGTCATGTTGCATTTGATTGGCCGTGCGAAGAATTAAGCGATGAAGTGGAAAGTCAACCGCCCTGGCTATTTTGCCACATGGCAAGAGTTGATTATGGCCATGGAATCAATGTTCTTTCCGCCGATTTGGCGTTCCGACAAAGGTCGAAGGTTCTGCCAAGCCGTCATGACAACGGCACGTTGTACGTTTATGTACAGAAAGTCCGTGAGCTTCGCCCCAGTATGGCAAGTGAACCACTGCCAGAGGCAGTGATGGTCACTAAGACTGAAGTATTTCGCCAGAGCCTGAAAACTGTAGAAGATGCTATTGTGATTGAATTGTATGAGGACTACTGTCAGCGTTAAGCAGGTGGTCAATCGGCCAACCCGATGGATGCAGTGACTGCTGCTCCCGAAATGTCTGAATCAATTGACCTTAGCGCGGTGAATGTACGCAAGCAGCAAGTTCGTTGTTACGGATGTCTACAATTTGGTCACATCTGCTACATTTGTCTAAGTGAGAATCAAACCTCTCAGAACGGTTCTCGTTGTAATGGTCCTAAGTCACGTGGTAGCAGGGGGCGTTCAAGAAAGGCCGGATGCTGGTCGGTCTTTCAGGGCAGATATAAGCTCTTGTGAGTGTGACAAAAAAATCACTCACGAGGGCTTAACCCTTGGAGAATTCTCAGCTTTTGTTAAAGACACAAGTTGAAGTGGCCTCCTCATGGTCACAGTGAGTGTGAAGGGTTACGGTCCTCCGTTTAGAGTCTTGATCGACTTTGGCGCGCCGCATAACTATGCGTGGAAGCAAAGCGTAGCTGAAAAAGATTCAGCGCTTTTAAATGCAACAGATAGAAGCAATGCCTTCATCCTAGTGAAGTTTGCCTCTTGTGCGGTGGTCAACGCGAAGAAAATTACGCTTGACCTCCAAGTGAAATTCGAGGACTTCAAATTGAAGGAAGTATCTACAGTCTCCGATATGAACAAACGAAATGGCCAGGTTTTAGGTAAATCGTGGATTAGAATCATGAGCCATGGATCAAATGGCGATCGAAAACACTTGGAAGTAGTTCTCCTGTGTAAGTGAAACTCTTGGGAGTAATCAACCTACTTTCTTATGCACCAGAAGAAGCACTCAAGCGCTAGGCATTCGAATGCTGATTCACACTATATTGGTATATGTCATGCAATCGACATTCCTTAGGTAAGAGAAGAACGGATTTGGATGGAGTGGCCACGGGTGGTCATTCAGGAAGTGCCTCAATGGATTTAGTGGTGCCCGAAA